GCCTGGGTAGGCAGGGTCGTGTATCGTTTGGATCTACCAATAGAGCTTCGTCAGATTCATAGTACTTTTCATGTCTCTCAAATGCGGAAGTGCTTGTGGATGATGCCGTAGTGGTTCTATTGGAGGACATTCAGGTGGATGATCGTTTGAATTATATAGAGAAACCAGTGGTGATCCTTGACAGGAGGACGCAGACTCTACGAAATAAGGTGGTAGGTCTAGTGGCAGCACCGAAAGGGCTCAGAATGGACGTGGGAGTCGGAGGATGAGATGTGAGAGCATTACCCCAAGTTTTTTGAGGTGGCGGACTTCAAGGACAAAGTATGCTTCAAGTGGGGGAAAATTGTAACATCCAGATCCCTAAGGTACTTAATTTCTTGAAAATTTTAGCTTGTTGAAGAGGTTCACAACGTGAGACAAGGTGATCACGTCGTGATTGGTCGTTGACCAGTTTACCCGCATTTTTTGAGTCTCACGGCATGAGGCATAAGTTCTCATGACGTTAGAATGAGCTGATGACCAAAACCCTAATATTTCGGGTATTTAATGGATTGAGAGGGTGAAACCCGATGGTGGGCGGGGCCTATTGTTCCGGGTGGGGCCCATTGCATGTATGGTAAGTGTTATTTTGTGGAACTCACTAAGCTTTGTGCTTATGGTTTTCAGTTGATGTTTCAGGTACTTTCGGTTTGAAGGGGAAGAGCTCGGGATGATCGCATCGCACACACACCATGATTTTTCCACTTTATTGACCATGATGTATTTTTGATGATTATTGATACACTATGACTTTCTTATGGGTTTGATTACCACGTTGGTTGATGTTTAATTAATAACTCAAAGCTTTTTTTCAAGAAGGTTACAAGATTGTTGCTTCTAATTTTCGAGAAGGAAGAAGAAAGAAACTGAAACCCGTTGCGTTTGTTCTTATTTGCGAGAAAGAGGAAGAAAGAAACCGCAACCTCTATAATCGAATGATTTTATACAAACATTGTGACCGTTGTTGTCAAGAATCGGAAACGATTCAGTAGACATTATTATAATAAGCGTTTTTTTTTCTTTTCCCCAAATTTTAGTCTAATTTCCCACACATGTGATGATTGATGATTCACGTCATTGGGGTGAAAGAAACGTAGAAAACATATTAACCTAATTTAGATTTGGGCCTAAACTCAAGCTAATCTAATATATATGCTAAAAAAAAGTTTGGGCCCTATGATTTAGTGGATCCTATTCATGGGCACACTTTGAACTCCATTTGGTTCGGCCCTGAAATCATCACGTATATCAAGTGGTGCAAGTACTTATAAACTGTTAGGTTGGAGCAAGGTTGGAAGGAGTGGTGTTTGTGTCGAGCTTTGCCTTCCATAAAAAAGTGTCAAAGTTGCTATTTTCCGGTTCTATCTCATTTTGCCACACATTTTTCCATGGTAGAGAAACAAGAAACAACAAGCAACAAGCAACAGGGGAGAAAGAAGAAAAGTGTGGGTGATCAGAGAAAAGAGAGTCACAAGTGGCTGCCGAGTGAGGGTGTTAAGTTCGGCATGCCGAGCAGAGGGGTTGTCGGATCGGTGCTTACTGAGCAGACTCATCCTCTGCCGAGGGGATGCTGAGTCCACCCCAATCTTATATTTTCATTCTTTATTGATTTTTAGAGAACCAATCGGTACACATTCATACCCAACAATTTATGATTTAAAATATTGTACTATATAATTTTATAAAACATAAATTGTTGTATACGGAAAAAAAATATTGTTTTTATGGTTGGGTGATCAAAATTGACTATGGTTGTGAGATGATTTTTAAAATAGTTTTTGAAAGAATAAAAAAAAGATTTGTATAAAACATTTATTTTTATTTAGTATATTGTCATCTTTCTATTGCACACCATCTCACATTTTTTTATTTAAAAACTAGGTGTGAGACCCGTGTATTACACGGGTTGATTTAAAAAAAGATTAAATATTAAATTAAAATGTAAACAAAAAATATTTTTTAACGTAAAACTTTAAAATAAGAAAGAAAGAAACGTATTTATTGCAATTTAATATCATATATATGATATTTAATACGTATGATTTTAATTTTAAAAATTGAAAGAAATCAAAAATTAACAAATGGATAATATTTATTTTAAAAATACCATAAAATGACAAGTGTCAAAACTAATGAGAAATTGACATATGGCAAAAAAATCTTCATTTATTAAGGAAGATTACCATAAAATAAGGCTAATAACAGGGTCGGTCTTGAAAAATTAAATATTTTCAAAGGTTCAGGACGAATAAGAAAAAAAACCCTTATCTTTATTATAATTTGTTATTCTTAAATAAAAATATATAATAAAAAAATTAAATCATGTGCAGCTGTCCACTTTGTCTATCCCGCATGGCTAATAGAACATACTAAACTGAAAAAGTTAATTAAAATTAAAAATTATATAGATAAAAAAAATAACATCTAAGAAAATATACAATTAAATAAATAACATCAAAACAAAAAAAATACAACCAAATAAACCACATCGTAATAAGAAAAATAAGATTTGTAATAGACAACTGCAAATTTAGTCCTTGTGGTTTTGCAAAAAACTTGGATAGGGTCCAAATAGTTTTCGACTTGTATGGAACGTTCAAAATCAAGGTTTTTCTGTGTTTTTAATCCAAAAAAACTTAAAATGACAGGTATACCCTTTCACTTTCTTTTTTATTATTTTTTTTATTTTTTAAATACTATTTTAATTTAAAAAAGAAAATAAAATAACACACTCTCTCTATCTCTCTCTCGTCAGTAAAAAAGAAAAGTCAAACCCCCAACCTACTTCTTCTTCTTCCCCAATACAAATCTGATGAACCCAATTCGTTTGTGAATGGAAGACTTCATCTTCTTCCATGTTTGCTAGAACCCTAACTTTTCCCATTACTTATCACCCGGGTTTTATTTGATGATTCTTACAATACATACCACCAACAATAGGTCCACAAACTCACCACCACCACCACTACTTCATTACTCCTACCACCAACATTGCGTTCTTGTTGTATGGATTCCGACCAACTCCACCACAGGTTCGATAAAAATAAAAATTCCAAAATCACCAATCAAAAATGAAGATTTCGTTCTAATTAAAGTCCGATTTTGACTTTTCAGTCAAACATTGTTCTTCTAGTTGCGATCTCTTTTCATGTTGTTGTAACATATTTGATAGAGGGGAATAAGTATCATCAAAGTGGGATGGACGTGTTGTTGTAACAACATAGAGTTGAATGTATGATGGTCAAATAGTCAACAATTAACCCCAAATATGTAAACTAGTGCAAAGTGTTTACGGGCATCACATTCTTGGTCGAGTTTTAAAGAAGTAAGGGGTAAGGGGATAAGAAATTGCGACAAACCTCATCTTTAGATTCGGTGCCATAGAAAGCAGCAACAGTGGCATCAAGTAAAGCAACATCAATCGGGTGACCTAAATCCTTAAGCTTCTCCGCCGCCATCGTAGAGAAATTGTGCAGGTGTAAAACCTTAGATGAAAACCTCGAATGATTTTTTATTTTTATTTTTATTATTTATTTATTTATTTATTTTTGCAGAAAAATCCTGCTGCAGGAAGTAGTGTACAGACGAGACCCTAAAGAACGAAAATGAGGAAGACGGACTATACATATTCTAGATGGATGATAAGTAAATATAAATAAATAAGACAACTTCAAAATGAAGCAGAACAAATGTGTGTGTGTGTGTTTGTGTTTGTGTTTGTGTTTGTGTTTGAGAGAGAGAGAGAGAGAGAGAGAGAGAGAGAGAGAGAGAGAGAGAGAGAGAGAGAGAGAGAGAGAGAGAGAGAGATTTTATTTTCTTTTTTAAATTAAAATAGTATTTAAAAAATAAAGAAAACAATAAAAAAGAAAGTAAAGGATATAATCATCATTTCAAATTTTTTTAATTAAAAATACAGAAAAACTTTTATTTTGAATTTTCCATGCAAATTGAAAACTTTTTAAACTGTATTCAAAAATTTTCATCGAAAATTGTTAGTGAGTTTCTTAGCAACTTATGAGTATCTTGATTACTTTTAGACCTTTTTGATTGGCTGGAAGATGGTTAAAGTCAAAAGGAACATATTGCTAGACTTCATCTCATAAAATAATATTGTGTAATATAAAGCAAGTATATATTATATTTTTTATTTTTTTATGAATTCATCATGAAGGGTTTCAAACTATGTCCCAACAACTTTTGAGGATACCAAAGCTCGTTTCACGTTAAATTTTGAAAACCGATAGAGAATTGATAAAATTCTGTGAAAAAATGAATATAGTTTTTTTTTTTTTGGGCGGGTTATTCTTAATATGATATCTTGTTGGTTCGGATTGGATCGGATGTGATATTTGGAGATTTGGACAAGTAAGACGCTAGATTCGAGTCTAGTAATGTTATAATGAATGGTGTTATTATGGTGGTGTTAAATTATTTTTTCTGGATGTAGTTTCACTCTTCTGTGATGAGCTTATTGCTAACTGGTCAGATATATATCTGCCATGTGATACTCTTCGAGTCTTTGGGACTGATGTATTGTGGCCCAGTTCTGGTTGTAGGAAATAAATATTTTGGTCTTTCGTGTTTTAGTGAAGTTGATGATTAAACTTTAAAAGAAAAAAAAATATACATAACTAAAATCAACATATAATAATTCAAAACCTTATTGGATGTTTTTGTTAATATTTCTTGTGTTAGCATTGAAAAATATAAATTATTAAATATGTAGTTCATAATCTCCTACCAACATGTATGTGGACACAAGTCGCAAAATTTTACGAGTGCATATGTATGTAGCCACACATTACGCTTTTGCAACTAAGCATAATAAGCCTTTTGTATTAATTAATTTCTGTTAATATTTCTGAATAGTTAATTTCTAGTTTACTCTGTCTACAACACACATACACACACAATGCAGTTTAATATGTCTATTTTAAATGTATTTTAGTTTCATTTCTTTCCTTTGTAATTATTGCATTTGTAAGCACTTTAGAAGAAGTGCAATGTTTCCAACAAAACAAGGGAGATCATTTAAACCAAATGAGGACGTTCAAAAAAGTTTTTTTATTGAACTGTCATCTAATTGGATACGAGTTTGATAATTTGTGAATTAAACTCATTCAATCTCAAAAAATCAAAGGGAAAGCACAGGTTAAAAGTTATTTTCCAGACAAAAAAGCTAACATTTTTTTTTTTTTGCATACAGAAAAATACCAAGTGATGAAATAAGTCTTTTAAGCTACAGCATTTGCGACTTCTTTAGCAGAAGATGAGGTAACCAACTTCTGTGGCTGCAACCATAATCATATCAAAAACACATAATCAGCAATTTAATGCCTCTTGATTAGTAACTTAAAAATCCAAATTTATCCACCTTATATAAATAGATTCAAATTGTGTTTTGTTCAACATAAATTAAATACTTGATTCAAATATAAATCCAAATGTGTGTTTGTGCAACATTTATTAAATAAAACTAACTCAAATATAAATTCAAATTTGTGTTCACTCTTACCTCGGCTAATTCCTCCTCGTGCTTTGGAATAAAAGCAGTATCAACTTTTCCATTTTTGAAGTCCTGAAACATAGAGAATAAAAAAATTAATAATTAAATTAATTACCATATCAAGATTTTAGGGAAAAAAAAACATGAGACAAGTTGCCTACTTCGATTTCAAGAATTAGCTTGTGGTACTCGATTGTAGTTGGAACACCTGATGATTAAAGATCAACTTATTAAAAAAAACAAATCTTTTGAGAAAACCAAAAAAATAAAAATAATAAAAATTAATGTTTGTAACGAAAGTGTTTATTTATATTACCTGTGATAATGGTATCATTAAGAGCCCTCTTCATGCGCTCAATTGCCTTTTCTCTTGTTGGGGCCCATACGATAAGCTAAAAAATAATTCAATGTTGACACTTAAATTAAACACTAAAAATATAAATACTACTAATATGAGCAATTCCCTTAATATTTGAATCCATAATAGGTTGCTATTTGGTGTTGAAAAAATATTACAAACCTTTCCAAGTAGAGAATCATAGCTTGGTGGAACAACATAATCGGTATAAACATGACTATCCATTCTCACAAATGGACCTCCAGATGGCAAGTAAGATGTAATTCTCCCTGATGTTAAACAAATGAATTAATCAACAAAATATTTTTTTATTAAAAAAAACATATGTATCAACCAAAAAAATATAAAAGTAGAACCTGGTCCTGGTCTGAAATTCTTGAAAGCATCTTCTGCATTGATACGGCATTCGATGGAGTGTCCTCTAAGCACAATATCATCCTGTAATAATAATTCAATATAAAATAAATATTTTTGGTACATAAAGACTAAAAAGATGAGGAAAATTAAATACATACCTGTGTCATACGGAGTTTTTCACCCATAGCAACACGGATTTGCTCCTCTATTAAGTCCACTGAAGATATCATTTCGGTCACTGGATGCTCAACCTTTTTTTAATATTAAAAAAAAAAACAAAGGATCACAACATTTATATATAATAAAAAGGAGTTTATAATAATTTGTTGGTTTGTTTTTTTTTTTTTTAACTAACCTGGATTCTGGTGTTCATTTCCATGAAGTAAAATTGACCTCTTTCATCCAAAAGAAACTCTACAGTACCAACACCAATGTACCCAATTGATGCTGCTGCAGCAACTGCTGCATCACCCATCGCTTTCCTTAGCTCTGGGGTTAATGCAGGCGACGGTGCTTCTTCAAGCAACTTCTGGTTCCTCCTCTGCAAAGGGCAAAACCGTCATTTTTACAACTTATATATAACAAGAAGTAAGCAAAATAACCGATTGTAGAATATATATATATATATATATACCTGAATACTGCAGTCACGCTCTCCAAAGTGAACAACATTCCCATATTTATCTGCAAGAACCTGAAATAACCATGTTGCTGCAGTTAGAAACTCAACATCTCGGTAGGGGCAAAATGGTCATTTCACTATGACAAAAAAAGAAAAAGAACAATGACCTGGAACTCAATGTGCCTTGGATTTTGGATGTATTTCTCCAAATAAACACCGTCATTTCCAAATGCAGCTGCAGCCTCACTCTGGGCTTGCTGTTTAAGAGAAAAATACAAACAAACAAAGAGATTTAAAAATTGGCTTCAGGATTCAAATTCATAAATCCTGCAAAAATGTCTCTTTATGAAATTATAAACTGAACAAAAAAGGAAAAATGTGCATAAAACAGTTAACTGTAAATTTTATAATACCTGCAACAATTTTACAAATTCATCGCGTTCTTTTGCAAGACGCATTCCACGACCACCACCACCTGCTGTGGCCTTAATCATGACAGGGTATCCAATCTCATCAGCAAGCTTGATGCCTTCCTCTGTGCTCTATTATTATTTTTATAAGAATCAAAACACAACAAAAAGTTGATATTTTGGCATCAAGAAATTCAATGTTGTAATGATGTATATGAATCAAAATACCTGTAATAGACCTTCACCTCCAGGTACACATGGAACACCAGCATTCTTCATGGTATCTCTAGCAGTTGCTTTGTCCCCATCACACGAATGCTGTCAGGCTGCAAACAGGCATTAATTATAGCACATATTAAACAACACTCTAGATAATAAAAATAGTAATAGTAATAAGTTACTTACATTTGGGCCAATGAAGTTGATTCCATGTCCTCTACACATCTCAACAAAAACAGCATTCTCAGCAAGGAAACCATAACCAGGATGCAACATTGTACATCCATGACTGATAGCAGCTGACAGGACATTGGGTATCAACAAGTACCTGATCATCAAAAAACTGAGAATTAAAGTTTCCAATTTTTCAATGTGAGAAAGAATTAAGATAGGTTACGTTGACTTACGATTGACTACTGGGAGCTTCCCCTATGCAAACTGACTCATCAGCTAGTTTCACATGAAGTGCATCCTTATCTATGGTGGAGTAGACTGCAACACAGGGAATCCCCATCTCATGAGCAGTTCTAATCACTCTCACTGCAATTTCCCCTCTGTTTGCTATCAGGATCTTTTCAGCACGACAAGTGGCACCAAGTGCTCCTTCATGTTTCCCTGATTTACGAGCTTTTTGAGAAGCTTGAACTCTTTGTCTAGGAAAGTTCAACTTGTTTCCCACCAAGAAGCTACACTGGGAGCTCTTGATTCCACTAGACCTCCCAATGAATAAACCCTAGCATCAAACAGTTCTAATCAGGAATATATTACATATACATATCAATGAAAAATAGAATTTGGGGGCTAGGGTTAGGGTTAGGGCTAGCAGACATGAAATATAGCACATTGATTGTTGTTCAGAACATGTTCATTTAGCAATCTTCACACATAGTATATCAGTTTTTTTTCATTGAAATATATCGAAATGGAACTATAAATGACGACATGAGATAGAAATCTCAACCTACACCATTAATCAAAGCAGTTTTTGAACATCATTTAAAAAAAAACACTCATGCATAGCCAAAGTAATTCCAATAGCATCTAGAAAAGAAATTTGCAATCCAAGGCCGATATTCATCAAATTACTACCACAGAACGCTTGCATCAACCATCAGCCTCGTTGATTTACACGCACAGTGACCACACGGCACACATTGAATCCACCGAAATAAAAGATAAAACTATCCCATACGATTATAATACTTATCTAACATCCCGGTATTCGAAAGCATACAGACAGTGATACAATTTTGAATACATGTAGCTACCAAAGAGCTGGATTGCAAAAAAGGAGAGTGGCTGAGCATACCGGAGGGGAGGTGATTGGTTTACTGCAAAATGTCATGGCGGCGGAATCCATGTCGTATATCAAGCGCTGCAAAAGGAACAGACAAGATCAGGATTGTATCGACAAGAACATGAATACAGCATTTATAGATTTGTAATAGCGATGAGCAAGCAACTACACTTGAAAGTAAGATCCAACTTGTTAGAGAGGAAATCGGAATCAAAATTAAGAAGGAATGAAGAGTGTATATGTAAGAAGGCAACTCACTCCGAAATTATCGAGAGGCAGGCAAAAATTCAAGAATTAGGCGTAGCGGTTGAGCGAGAGAGTGTGAGAGCAATGAAGTAGTACAAGTAAAGAAGAAAGAGGGGAGGGGTGTCGATGAAATCTATGATGCTCACAGATTGAATTCTCCGCCCAAAACGGACTTTCTTTGGTTTTGGCTATACATACATTTATGATTTATTCACCATTTTATTTTTCATAATATAATATATTTCATAGATAAGATTGTAAAATAATAATATATAATTAGTTTGTGCTTTTTGTCTATAAATTATAACATATGTTCTGAGGGTCAAATTTTCGCCGTTTTATACATCCTTTCTATAAAAAATAAATTAAGAAATTTATCGGAATAAGTTTATGTTCATTGTTCAAACTTTTTTTATAAAAACGATCTATGTGTTTAAGACTTTTGTAGGTAAGCAGTTTACTCCCTATATAGAAAATAAATTATAAAAGTTATAATTTACATAAAATGTCAATGTACAAATATTTTTTTATAAAATCGTTTAATGTGTTTAAAAAATTACAAAAATAGTTTGTGCCTAACATAAATTTTATGGATTACGACGGCAAAGTAAGACTTTTTGGGTTTTATACTTAATCCACAAGACTTGTATATTTGGAAGTTCGGTCCCTATACTTTTGTATATTGTCATATTTGATCCATAGACTTTTTGAGTTTCACATTTCAACCATAAGAATTTTATATATTAGCATATTTGGTTCCTATACTTTCGTATTTAGACAAGTTTAGTCTCTCCCACAAAGTGGGGTAAGATCACTCTAGTTATATCTCTAAGTTTGAACTTTGTTGAAGAAATGCTCTCTCTTACTAATTACTTTATATATATATATATATATATATATATATATATATATATATATATATATATATATATATATATATATATATATATATATATATAAGATGAACTTCTAATGAATAATACACTTTTGTGGTTTTAGATTTGGCCACAAACTTTCTTTTAGTAGTTTGAGAATTTGGACACAAAAGTTTGTCATTTTAAACTTTGGCTATAAATCTTTTCTATGTTTGCAAATTTGGTTTCTAAACTTTCGTATGTTGGCATTTTCCACCCCTAATCACCCACTTTGCCACAAAAATATCTTATTTCAAGTTTTGGCCACAAAAGTTTCTTATGTTTGTAAATTTGGTTTATAGACTTTCGTATGATGGCACTTTCCGCAAGTAATCATCCACTTTACATAAATAATAGTTCATACATTATTCTTCTTTATTCACAAACCATCCACCATGTATATGTATTTTAGATTTTTATCATGTGTTAAATGGGCATTTTGGTCCGTTTGAGAAAACATTAGTTATAGAATAGTATTAAGTAACTTTTGTATGTTTGTTTGAAGTAATGGTATATGTTGTTATCAATGTTGTAAAAAACATTCGACGTTAGTTAGCCGGTGGATTAGGATTAAGAGATTAATCGATTAGACGGAGATTAATTGGGGACCGTAAATTGCCAATTCGCTGATTGTTAAAAAATTAAATGTGACTAATATCATAACAAAGTTCGTAAATATCATTAATATTATAACAAACTAGATTAATATGAAATTAGGAAATATGTAATCCCTTATGAGGAACTTAAAAAGTATTTAATTAATATTATGCATAGATAATAAGGATATAACAGTATGGGATGCTAGATTCTATACAATACTAAATTGTTATAATTCTTACAAATATATTATGTGGGATTTTAGATATAGAACCCCTTCGGTTAGAAAAGTCTAATTATGACCAAAAATTATTTAAACCCAAATGAAAGTATGGTTTGCAAATTCTAGTAATGGTTATCGATCCAAATACATTAGGTGAATACAAAAAATCAAGAAACCTCAATCTAAATTATAAATTCGAATTTCACAAGAAAACACACCAAGCACGTCCAAACTTCCAAAACTCACAACTATTGGTTAATTGGAGCTTAGAGATGGACCTAGGAATGGAATCATAACTACAAGACAAAACTTCAAAAATGGTCCCTGTGGTTTCCGAAAACATCAAGTTTAGTCCATAAGTTCAAAAAACCTCACAGATGGTCCCTGTGGTTTCAAAACTTTTAACAAATGGTCCTTCCGCCTAACTCCGTCAGCTTTCTACCGTTAAGTGAGGGGCATTTTCGTCATTTAAATACACAAGGACCATTTATGAGGTTTTCTCTATTTAAAAAAACAAATAATAATAATAATTATTTAATTAAAAGGCCCCACCTCTTTCTCTCTCTCTCTCTCTCTCTCTCTCTCTCTCTCTCTCTCTTCTTTCTTTCTCTCTCTCTCTCTCTCTCTCTCTCTCTCTCTCTCTCTCTCTCTCTCTCTCTCTCTCTCTCCCCCCCCACCGTATACCCAGTCAAACGATAAGCTCTTGGTCAAAAGACGTTGACTGACCTTGATTTTCGATTGTCGTGAGGTCGACCACACAGGAACCCAGTTTGTCTTTGGCTCCTAATTTTAGCCTATCTATTATCTAATTCTATATCTGTAGACCAGTGGCCTACTCTTCCCTAGTTCACGAACACACACACTTTCATCTTGACTGTGTGCAATTCATCAATGGCGATGTCTGTGGTAGACATCGAATACCTCAAACATATTGATAAAGCTCGTCTAGAGCTTCGTGCTTTTATCTCCAACAAGAATTATGCACCAAATATGCTTCGATTAGCGTATAAATACGACTCTTCTTCAACCTCATTTCATGGTTTTTAAAGATGCCCTAAGCATTGTAGCACACGGGGTGACCTTCTCTATTGAGTCCATTAATATAGGTGATGACGCCTTCAAGTTCTTTAAACCCTAAATCTTCATCAACAATGGAGTTGGTTCCAAAGTCTTTCTGCCATGAAAGACACTTGAGGAGCATTTTGAACGTCTATTAGACCTTGAATTCTATTGCTTTGAGGAATTTCACAAGGACAACACATACACTTTTCTGATTCCGATGTCATAGTGAGAGGGATTACCCCCATGGATTCTTGGAAATTGGAGGTGGAATAGAGCATGTCTTTGGGGTCTATGAGTGCTTTCTTTTATGCTTGTGTTTGAGATTCTGGTGGTGGTAGGTGTCTTCTTTGAACGACGGAGGGCGGAGAGGGGAGGCGCCAGACTTCATTAGCGATGCAATTAAGCTTTCCTTCATCTTCTTTACGGAATTTGTTTCTTGCTCTACTGAAGAGAAACCCAGATCGAAGGTCATCAAGATTTGATAAACCAAACCCTAGAGATGGAAACTTGTTGGAACTCGGGTGATTTAAGAAACTACCAAAATGAAAACATAAAAAATTGTTGGGCTCTTGAGAGATACGTTGATTAAAGGAATCGAAAGAATCAATGAATCTAAAGATTTTGGGGGTTCCAAATTAGGTTTCGATTTATCTGTGTTTTTTTGGTGTTCCAAATTAGGTTTTATTTTTTTTTTTTAATTCCAGAGATGGTTTTCAGATTTATGAGTTTGTTTCTTTTGTGAGTTTTATAAGAACCGTACAAATTTGGAGTGTGTATGTATGTGTTCTTGGTGTTATGGAGAGAGAGAGAGAGGTGGGGCCCTTTAATTAAATAATTATTTTTTTTTCTTTTTTTTTTTAAATAGAGAAAACCTTATAAATGGTCCATGTGTATTGAAATGATGAAAATGTTCCTCACTTAACGGTAGAAAGCTGACGGAGTTAGGCGGAAGGACCATTTGTTAAAAGTTTTGAAACCACAGGGACCATCTGTAAGGTTTTTTGAATTTAGGGACTAAACTTGATATTTTTAGAGACCACAGAGACCATTTTTGAAGTTTTGTCTAACTACAATATCATAAGAACACTACAATTCAAGTATGAAAATTTTAAAATCCTACAAATTCCTAATATGAATTTAGGAGAAAATGGGAAGAAAACTACTCTAAATGCAAGATGTGAGAGGATCTTGTTAATTGATTGGGGAAGAACCATGAAGAAGAATGAGAAAAAAAGCTGGAAAAAATGTTGTTATATTATGCCTAGCCGCTAGCGTCGAAGATGTGACACATCCCTACAAGTTTGGGAAAAATATATTTTTGGTCCTTCTTTTTAAAATCTTTTCATAAATGGTCCTTAACTTGGTTGAAAACCTAGAATAACTTATTTTTAGTCCTTCTACATCCCAACATATACAAAATTGGTCCTAGATTGTCACGACCGAATTCTCATTAGTAATTTAGGAAATGAACATTAATTAATATGAATAACTTTATAATTAAGTATAAAAATATATCGGTGAATATAACGAATAAAAGGCATTTGACAAATTATAAATGACTAAATAATAAATAAAGATAATAAAGAATAAAAATAAATAAAAATAATAATAAAGATAATGAAAGATATTATTTAGATAAGGGTTGGAAGTGGCAAAACTTAAAACTGCCATTTGGAAAGAAATTTTATTTTTAGTGTAGAAAGTGTCAGTATGGAAAGTTGGGGGCTGAAAAAGGTAAAATCTAAAATAAAGGCTCTTTGGAATTTGGATCGAGATTAAAGCTTTGGCTCATTTCTTTTTTCTTTTTCTTTTTTTTGCAGCCTATCCCATCCAATGCATGCGTATTTGAATCAAGTCTAGCCCTACATGCCAATATCTTTTTTTTTTTTTTTTTTTTTTTTTTTTTTTTTTTTTTTTTTCTTGATTATGAACATATTTGGTTATAAAATTTATACATTATCTTAATACTTTATGTTGTTTTTGTCTCATTTAATTAACAAAATATGCTTAATTAGTTTAGAATTTCATTTTTCAGCAACAATGACAGTCTCAGATGGAAAATGAAGTGGATTTAGCAATTGAAAGCTTGAATCTTGGATTTTGAAGAAAGAAGGATGTTGTTGGACAACTTGACCCATCGTCAGTGTTTTGGCCATATCTCATGAACCATAACTCCGATTGACGAGATTCAAAATGTTCTGAAAATTAAACACAATTTCGGACGACTTTTGTGTTTTGTGAAAATATTGATTCCAAACGGACTCGACGAGTTGGTCAGAATGTTCCCGATTCGAAGATGCCTTGTCATACACATTGTATATGCAGATTATTGAAAAAAAAAACTCGTCCAGTTAGTCTTAAAAAATAGCTACGATTATTGAAGATCAGAAAGGTTCTTGGAGCTTCAATTTTCGAGATTTCAACCTAAGAGACAATTTAGAAGAGATCAAAGGCAATTAATTATTCTTCTTTTCTTAATATT